GCATTATATTTTCTTCCTTCCATGCTAAAAAATATTTTGAGCAAAACTGTGCTCTTACCCTGATAATTGAACCTTCACACTCTGCTCTTACTGGTGCAATGTGCAGTTAATGAAGACTGGTCACCAGGCTGGTCCAGTTTAGCCATAAAACCTCCCTAACTAAAATGACAGGTGTTTCAGTTTCATTGTCCAACCCCTGTATGCTGGTGCTCAGAGTGTTGAGGATGACTCTCATCTACAACCACATTCAATTAGCTTTAATATCTGTACAAAAGACTGAGTTATAACCATTTTTGTGTTGAATAAGGTCCATTAGCTGTAGTAGCTATCTTGAATTTGGTTGACTCCAAAAGTTAATCACGTTGTAGATGTGCATCCAGGGATTACAGTGAGGGCAGAAGATGCAGAGGACAGGAGGAGGATGACTCGCTGTGGTGATCCCTGAAGAAGGAACAGCAGAAAGAAGTTTCATCAAAATCACTTCAGTGGTTCATGAAATCTGTGGTAACATGTTTGATACACAAACACACASAGARATGTGCAAAAACATTATCACCCTCACCAGAATCATAAATGGGGCTTATGAAACCAGAATTCAGTCTCAGGATTGAATAACTAACATTTTGCACAGTTACCCACTAGAGGGCGCTCTTTATATAAAAGTACAGTATACAGAAAGCACAAAAACTTTGATTTGCTTTTAAATATATGGCTGTTCTTGACCTATAAATGTTACAGTACTTGATTAATCTACTACTTGGAGTTCGTGGTTTAAATAATCAGAAAAAAGCAAAACAAAAACAACTTCTTAGCTTCATTTATGAGATCAAAACTGTTTTTCAATTTTGACTACTTTTAATCTGSTTTATGCAGCTTCTGATTCAGGAAAACAGTGAAGCTGTCCTGAACCAGTGTGCATTATTTTACTTCAAATGGTTAAATATGCAAGAGTGTGCATTMTTTTACTTTATGTGGTTAAACATGCACGTGTGTGGGTTTCTTTTTCTAGCTTTAAATAATTAGTTTAAGTACGGCTTACAATGCTTACAAATGACTGTCCTTTTTAGGAGAGGGGCTGGTCTTTCTGTGGACCTAAATCAGAAATGTGTCCACTGGCTTGGAGACGTGGCAGCGCCTCGGGTCATATGATTTTTTTGGCTCTTCCACGAACCCCACCCCGTTATTTTCCCCCACTCTAAAAAAAAGATGTAAAAGAAATCACTTCCTCATCTGCGTGCACCTAAACGTCCTGGAAAACATAAGCAACTCGGAYCGTACTGTGTGCACACAGTTCAGCAGCAGCGCTCACCCAAAAACGCTGCCATTTTTAGCCATTTTACTGCTGACGTTTACAGCGGCTTCAAATAGCTTCCGCTTAACTCTGGTAGTGATTGGACCGTGAGCTAATAACACACACACACATACAGGCTGAACAAGGCTCCGACATTCTTCACTTCAATGGAGGAACAGCCCAAAGATCGGGCACAAGACAGACACTACTACCACCACCACGGAGAGGACCGGAGCTCCGCTCAGCGCACAGCTTGTCTGAAAAATGATCAGAGCCACTTCCAGTGCCAGCATCAGGAAGCGCAGACGAAGAAAACAGGTATTTGTGTCGGCTAATGTCAACTAGCCGACTAGCATTAGCTAACTAACGTGGTTGGGGGAGCTTAGCCCGCAAGCTAGCTTTTTTTTTTTTTTTACATGCTGCTGCTCCGAATAAATTAAGAAACGACAGAGAAGCTGGTTAAGTGCAGAGTTGGTTCGTCTGTCATAAAATAAATTTACACATTTTACTCGGGAGCTGCTGACGTTGCATGACCGGTGTCTCTAACTAGTGGTTTGACAGATAGCGGATTGACCTTGTGCGCCGGTGTTGTGCCGAAAAAACAGCAYCCTGTCAGACTACGTCAGTGGAATAATTATCCCTAAAGCTACAGAAAAACCCAGGTTAGTTCGCTCCATCAGACTTTTGCTCGGTGTATTAGTAAATACATGTGTCTTGAAACGCTCTTCCAATGACAGGGGGGCTTTTGACGAGGGGTGCTCTTCTTCAGCACAACACCGATTTCGCCTCCTAGTTTTCTTCTCCTCGTGCAGCTAAATATTCTTAGAAAACTCCCCTCGTGGCACTGACTAATATAAGCGCGTGGCTCATTATTCCCTACAGTCTTATGTTGTATCAGTTTAATTCCGGCACGTCTGGGTCCAGTTTAGGAAACCGAGCCGGCTCCGCTGGAATGTTCTGTGCTGCCATTTCCTGTCGGCCATGTCAGAATCTCTCTGCGAGCTAATGCTACACTTAGCCGGCTAGCTGGGGGGGAAATAACTGCGGAAAAGCAGTATATCCAGACGCTTTAGCGTGTCGTCGTCGAGTTTTAGGTGGGAATCGCTGGACCAGCGACTGGGACAGGGATGTTTTGCCATCACTTACTGGTTGGTTGACATTAGCTGACAGGCCTGGTCAACGGGGAAGCCACGCAGCTTCGAGTTTAGGTTAGCCGACAGCCGCTGGGTGGGTTTAATATTTATTAAAAAGCAAGAAGCTGTCTAAGAAGACAGAGCTGTGTGTGCTGTGCCAACAAACATGGTGGAAGAAGCCCCACGTTGACACAGCACTTCGCATCTGAAGGCCTAGGCATGATGATTTACTGGAAATCACTCTTGATCCTGCATATCAGCCTTTTTAATTACTAATATTTGTCAGATTAGGTGTTAGTTTGGACTGCTACATGTTTAAAAAATGATAGACACAAGATAAGAAGCATTTGTTTCATTTGTTTGTTTTTAAGCAGCCCTTTCAAAGGAACCACAAACTTATTGKACCTGTTCATCAGTTTCTGTGAGARGAGATGGAATAAATTAGGCTTTTGAACCTGTTTTCTATTAGTCATTACAGCATGAACTGATTTTCTTTCCCTTTTCAGGCAATAAGAAAGTAAACATCAGCGACGAGGAAGGAGAGAAGAGTCCACATCCGTCTGATGCTGTTGTTATGTCCCATCCTTTGAACATTGGTGGCAACAGACACATAAATAATGCAAATGTGAAGCAAAAGGGGACGCAGAAGTTCTACACGTCCGGTCCAAAAGCGAGCARCAAACTGCTGGGTCATAAGAAGAACATGGACTTTAAAAATGACAAGGACAAGGTTCTGGATTTGAGTCATCATGAGATCCAGCCCTTTGATAAGAGAGACTCTGCTTTGCTTCAGAATGGCCTTGTAAACTGTGGCCTCATTATAAATGGCTATTCTAGTAAGGACAATGACGGCAGCGGCTCYGAAGGTGGATACACTACCCCGAAGAGACGCAAGGCCCGCTGCAACAACACCAAGAACGCTGACAATGTGACGAGAGAAAAAGAGAGAGACATGCAGCCCCGCAACACTACGCACGAGCTGGGCGCYGTGGATCTCGAGACTGAGAAAGCCAGGTCCACCCATAAGGTGGAGGCGCATTCGGCGGCGAAACGGACTGTCGTGTCTGAGACTTCAGCGGGCGAATCCCAACGGAAAAACTCCGATGGCAAAACAGCTGGAACGTTTGGTAAAAAAAGCGAAGAAMGGCACAAAGGCAAGGTTTCCTCACCTTCAAAAGAGGACTCGTGGACTTTGTTTAAGCCCCCACCTGTGTTTCCTGTGGACAACAGCAGCGCTAAAATWGTTCCTAAGATCAGTTATGCAAGTAAAGTAAAAGAGAACCTCAATAAAGTGGCTCAAATCGGAGGAGAGGTGACTCCCCCTCCACCTGTGAGACTGTCACAAGTCCCGATGTCTGCTATGAAAACTATCTCCTCAGCTAGCTTTACTAATGGTCCCRTTTCTGGAAACGGCTGCCCGTCTTCGGGTACCTTCTTCGTTCCTGCTGCTAGTTGTGTTCAATCAGCCCCATCTATCCCAGGCGGCGAGAATGTAGCATCTTTAGAAAGTAACTGTAGCTCTACAACAAGTCCTGTAGATGGAGAGGCGAGCGAGCTGAAAAAGTGTACTCTCTTAGTCTACCCTTTAAATATGCAACCTGTGCTCCCCAGCGCTCGTCACCTCGACCCACCGGCTGCTCAGACAAATCAGAAAGCCCTGGGAGACATCTTCCAGAATCAGTGGGGGCTCTCCTTCATCAACGAGCCCMACTTGGGGCTAGAAGGAGGAAACGTGCCTGCTGACGACCAGACTTCTGTGACGTCTCGAAGCGAGAGTCAGACTGTTGGAGACAAGGTTGCCCAGGCCTTTTTTGACGTTAGCCCGTCGTTTGTAGAACCTGGCRCTTTGTCTCAAGAGCCAGAGAAAAGGACTTGTGGCGCCTGCCAAGCGTCGGGCGCCTGTTCTCCTGCTTGTGCGATCGGCGAGGAGGCGTCCGAGCTGCAGGAGAAGAAAAAAGCGGAGGTCAAACGGGYGGGCTCCTCTGGGTCAGCTGCCAGTAAAGACAATGGTGCTAAGCCTGCGCAGGGCCAGCAAACCACTGTGTTGTTTGGGTCTCCTAAAGAGCAGATCCACACTAAAGACAGGAGGTGTAGCTGGGGCTCGTTTGATGTTAAAGCTGCTGTCGCCTATCACACTAAAGGTAATATTTCTGTCTGTGATGAGGAATGAATTCATGTCTGTCAGACTTTATTTGATAATATATCTTTTAATAAAAAAAACTCTGATTTTTGACTTTTACCAAAATGTGACAACTTGTTCTTCTGTTTATAATAAACCACAGTTTGATCATAATCTTTAGAAATGTTCAGGAAAACTCTTATTTATATGATTTTAGAAGTCAGTGTTGCAGCTACTGACCTTATCGCTCTGCAGCGCTTTACAATTTTTGTTTTTACTCAATTATATCTAGTCTGTGAGTCAAGGGTAACTCTTTTATTTTCATCCAATATGGAGGCTTTTGAGATTTTAGCATCCCCCCCTCAGATAAAAGGGTGTCCTGTGTCTTTAGACTCACCCTGTTCTTGTTTTATCAATGTCAAACGCATTTTAAGCTTATTGACTTTAAAAAGTCTCAATGTGCTTATTAAAAAAAATGTGCAGTATCTGTTATTATCTGACTTCATGACTATGTTTCGATGTTGAAGTAACTTTTTTCTTTTCTCCTACAGAAATGGAATTCATTTTCAACTTGCAAAAACAAGGTAAATACACACGGAGCTGCTGGAGGAAACAGAAAGGTTGTTCATGATTTCCGTGCACAAGAAATCTTCCTGTTGCTCATGAGAAACGTTCTCTGTAGTAGAAAAGCTTTAAGATTACATTTGGAATGTGACATTTGTCATTTTAACTTTCTTGACGACTTCATCAGGTGGATTTAATGTTTTTGGGAATTTTGGATAAAACCCTCTGCAGCAGTTTGAGTTAAAATCTGGAGTTGAGACCACTGAGCGTAGTACTTTATATACAGCGAACGGTTTCTCCTGGGCAGCAGAAGGTTTCTCGTACACACCACAAACCCACAGGCTACTGAGCAAGATCGTTTTTAGTTTAGTTTCTTTTTATATTGGAAGTTTATTTTTGATTGATTTTATTTGAGAAAAAAGYGGCAGCTATTATAAGATTTTGTGGTGTTCTGCTGCCTTTCATTTATTTATGATTTGTGTTTTAATTATATTGAATTTATGTTGTTTTTAATGAAATGAATGAACATTATTATTATTATTATTATTATTATTATTATTATTCCTCGAGGCTCAGTGCCAGTAAAATAAAGCAAATAAATGAACTCCTGTTATAGTTTAATGGAGGTTTCTACCTGATGGATACAGTTGGGGTCTGGTGGGGGGAGATGATAGATTTGACCCATGCAGCAGTGATTACCCCATTATTACCCAACAGCAGGTAATAATGGTAGTTCTCATTAGTTACAGTGATTCTGTGYGATGGACAATGTTCTGGGTCCAGCTAGCATCGCAGATAGCGGTTTAATGCAATTAGCTGCTACGTTTAAAAATGTTTTATTTCTGTAAATCCTTATTTGTAGCTTGTGCTGTAACTCTTCACCTCTTCTCTCCCTCTCTCCGCTGTAGATCCAAAAAGAGTAGTGGTTTATGATGAGACCAAGGACGGACCTGATCAGTGAGGTAGATTTTGGTTTTTGTTTTTGTTTCTGGGTGCTGCAGTTTTCTACCTTGGAGAGAGAGAAAACAAAAAAAATCCTGTTGGATAAGGTGACAACTGTGAAAACTCTGACATCTAAGCATGATTTCCCCCCTGGAACCTCGGGTATAATAAGACAATTTATTTTTGTTTGGTTTTGTTTGTTATTTGGAGGGCATCAGAAGAACGAACACTCTCTGGACGGACATTAAACAAGGCTGATCGGTGCCTCTCCACCACAATGAATGAACTTCTGCAACCTTCTAGCTGTGGTAGTCCTCGTCTCATGGCTTTTAAGGGATAACGTTCAGGAGTCCAACAACAAAAAAAGAAAAAAAAAAAAAAAAAGGCGTCTCGGACCGCAACTCTACAAGCCTTTTTGTCTCTGTTGAAGCGTGGTGGCCGTCAGTCCAGCTGCGGGGACGCCTCAGTCCCATTCTTTCTTCATGCATTCAAAAGAGTTCACTGTAGATATGTTAAGTCATACATACTGTGTGTCAGCTTCATGTTGGATGAAAGCAGACTCTCTGGAGAGAAGAAGAGGGGAAAAATGCCTTCAAGTTGTGGGTTTTGTTGAGTCGGCAGCGAGGCTCCATCCTGAAAAAGAAGGTTGTCTTAAATCCTTTTAGAGGAAACTACTCAGAGCCCAGATGTGTTTGTTTTTAATCTGTAAACCAACTGAACTAACAAGAAAACGATTTGCTGATTTGCTGTATGACCCCGCCCCCACAGCTGAGGCACTGCAGTGCCGTATTTGAAGGAAAGCTCCGCCCCCGTTTTAGGTTTTACCAGAAGCGCTAAAGGTTTTTTACCATCGGGTCTCCGTTAAACTTTTCTGTTTTAAACCTCTAATACATTTCACGCAGAAGGTCGTTATCACAGACTGTTCTTAAATTCAGGTTCACACAGCTTCTGTAGATGAAATCTGAGTTGAAGAAAGGGAAAGAAGAAGTCGGGGGACAAACTGTTAAAGCAGAAACTTTGCCTCTGATGAGATGTTCTGTGTTTTGTGCTCCATGTTCAGCTGCAACACTCAGGATGTCCCCACAGGTTATTGCATTTCTGTTCAAGTATTGCTTTTTTTTAAGATTTAGCTTCATGGCATAGTGTTTTTAATTTTGTTTACTGGTGTAAATGAATGAGTCAGAGTTCACTGTTCATTAACACAACATTGCAATATTAATCTCGGGTCCCAGTGGAAGTGTGTAGAAATGCAATGATGGGTCGTTCCACGTTTGACTGCGGGGGGGACCGGTTTGCAGACGAGTGTGCAATAACACCATAAACATGTGTTACGATGCTGAGCTGCGAAATCATGAACCAAGACGCTTGTTGTAGCCTGCAAGCTCAGTTTTTTTTGTTGTATTTCTCAAACATTTAAAAAAGTGCATCTTCACTTTTGTTGCACAATTTCCTAACTTTCCTTTGTGTTGGTGTGTGTGTTTGTGTGTGTGTGAGAGAAGAGCATAGGGTCGAATTAAGAGATTCTAGTGAGCCCAAATGATTCAAACTGCCTACTGGTCGATCCGCTGTGACATCACTTTAATTCTAAGCGTGGGTTGGTTCTGCTCCGGGTTTTACTCTGTAATCTAGATTTGGATAACGTGTGGATTACTGGCACTTTATGTAAACAAATTAACCTTTTATCTTAAATACTAAAAAACTCTATATGTACCAACTAGAAATGCTCCTTGAAAGAATGGCTCTGGGCTGTTACTGAAACATAAAAAATAAAAAATAAAAAAAAACTAGTTGCTAAATAAAGAATTAATAAATGTAACTCAGGTAGTGTTGCTAAAGCCATGAAGAAATCAAATATTGTTTTTGCCAAACAAACCCCCGTCATGTTTTCTTCCCTGATTGGAAATGCTAAATTGGAGTTTTAACACCAAATAGCTACTGTTGACAAAATGTGTTGATCTTTGGCGTAAATTGTTTTCATTTTATTTTTATATTTTTGTTGTCCGCGTTGAGAAAGCACAATAAGTTTTCTGTGGATTTGCCATCTTTGTCGGTTTCCTTTGCGTTCACAGAGAAGCACTACTTCTTATTGTTGGACAACGTGCTTTTACTCTGAAAGGTTTGCTTCCTGCCACTGTGTCCCCATGTGCAGAAAAGGGAAAGCTGTCGCAGACATCTTTTTATTTTGTGTTTGCTGTCCTTTTTTAAAATAAATTTGGGTTTGTTTTGCACACGGCTGAGGTGCAGAGGCTGCCGTCTCCGTTAGAACAGTTCTGAATATGATTCAGGAGCAGTGGGTCGGGCAGCATTAATGTTTTGCTTGTGGAAGTTACTAATCTGGTATCGATTTTAATTCCAAACCCGCAGACAAATCGACACAATCGGGTTAAACAGTTGGAGCTGGAAGTAACAAAAAGCTTTCCAACTGGAAACAGGGTGAACATATTAAAACTGTAGTCTTACAATCCATTTATTTATTTATTTTTTTGTCCCGCTCCCTTCCTCTCGCCCTAACATTTAGTCTTTTTCAAGCACTTGTCTACAGCAGCGACGCTTCGCAGATTATGCATTTATTCACATTTAGTTTGAGAGATGTAGCCTGCAAACCAAAAAAATTAAATAAAAAATTAAAAAATAAATAAAAAATCAGGTTGTTGAAACCAAGTGGATGAGTAATCAGTGATTGGAGGGGAGGAGGGGGTGAAAGGAGAAGTAAATTAGTGCAGATTTTATACGTCTCCCCCCTTCCTCCACATCAGGATGTGCAATCACCTCAAAGATGCTGATGCAGGCTTCCAGCTTGTGACTGACGTTGTTTGGTGTGTGTTTGTGTGTGTGTGGGTGTGTGGGTGTGTGGAGAGTTCTTCCTCTTATATGCAAGTTCCTCTTCTATTTTCTACCCCCCCCCCCCCCCCCCCCCTCCCCTCCTTGTTTCATGTTCAGGTGCCTGTGAGAGGTTAGCAGTGAGGGGAGGGGGAAAAAATCTTACAGCAATTTTGATTGTTTTTAAAAACCTGCTTCCAGCGTGTATCCGTGCCATTTTTCTTTTCTCTTTTTTTGTAACGTGTTTTAGTTTTCTAACGGCTAATCCAGATTTACTTCCGTTGTTTGTTTTTGTTTTTTTTAGATGATTTAATTATTTTTTAGTTTTTACGGCTTGTCTTCAGAATGGTGTGACCTAAAGCCAAAATCACTTCAAACAGCTGTTGTTGCTGGTGTATACTGGTACCAGTCTTTTAATGAAATTAACATCTATAGTAGCAATGAATTAATCTGGACTCATTTAACATGTTTTAAAGATTTTTTTTTAAGTTGTATTCTTAATTTATCCATAGTTGCACAATTAAACTAAAATTGTTTTTAGATGTTTTAATTTTTTAGTTGAAGCTGATGTTAGACCCCCCTTGTTTTAGCACCATCGTTAATATATTTGGAAGGTAATTTTCCTGCAGATTTTATACAGAGTTATTAATAATGCGTTTGTTCAGATAGTTGTGATAAACATAAAAACACTGCGTCTAGAGTTTCTATTAATATATTTGAATTTGTTGAAGGCGACTGAGGTTTTCACACACAGGCCAAAGGTACCCTACTACTACTACACAGACGCATGTTGATGATGTCATAGCCAGCTTTCTGTTGACATCCTGCTCAGTTCAGATGAGTGTTTTGAAGGAGAGGACACTTCTGTAGCAGCTGAATGTCACTCCGAGCGTTTTCTGCAGCACGAGCAGCAAAAAGGTGAATAAACACCGAAAGTGCTGCTTCTTCATCCTGTGATGGGTGGGGGGGGGAAGTCGCTGGATCTGGTGTTTTTGTGCTCGCCCTTAAAAGCTGTCCCTCTCTTACAATGTTAAGTGTCTCAACAACTACTAAAACAAATTTTGAGGCTTTTTGTTTTAATCTGAAGCGTTTCAGATTCTAAATAAGGAGACAAAACAGGATTTACCCAGTAGAGATGATGCAGGCACGTTGTGGCAAGTCTCTTTTTTTTTAGTTTTGTGTCATCTCTAAGGTTTGAGCCCGTTCATGCAATTWATTTATTTCTCCCCTCCTCCCCCTCACTTTTTGTCTCCCCTCGTATCACTTTGTCCATCTTCYCTGCCTCCTAAACTCTGAGGCATCAGCGTCTCCTAAACGTCTTACAGGTCGGCATTTTCAGTGAGCAGTCTCATTTATTTAATTTTTCATGTTTTGAATTTAACAAAATTGTCACATTACATTGGTTTTATTTCTGTTTTTTTTTTTGTTGTTTTTAAGCATGATAACCCTTCAAATTCAGAACAATGTAATAGTCAATAAAAAAAACAAAAACAAACCCATGTGTTCACTGTTTTTAGTTTTAATTAAATGCTATTCATCATCAAAGTTTTAAAGGGTTTTGTGTTTTATTTTGAAAACAAGTTGAACAGAGTAATAAAAAAGTAACAAACCACTGTAATGACGTAAAGGTGGATCATCTGTTGGCTACAATTATAAGTTTTTAGTTATCCAAATAAAGGCCACACCATRAYGACTCAAGACTTTTGCACAGTGCTGTGGGTCCAGAATGAAAACATTTGAGTTGTCTGAGTTGGGGTTGTGGGGGTCCCACAACCCCACCCTCGATGAAGGGAGCAGCTAAAAGTAAAGGGATTTCATACAGATGAKTATAGTTCCTGTTAAGTTCATTTCATCAGGTAGAGTGAAAAAAGAAATGATTCAGCAGAAGTCTTTTCTGTTAAGTCATCTATCTAATGTTGGTAAACACGTTTTCCTGGAATATGACCATAATTTCTGCAAAAGAAAGTAATTAACAGCACAGAACACTGATGGAATAATTGGTCAAATATAAAATATAAAGATGAAACAACAAATTAGTCCTCAGCAAGATGAGTCCTGAAAATTCAGAGTTTAAAAAAATCATTTAAATATAGTCATATATAATCTATAGACAAGATATAGTCTAATCATTTATAAATTGTTTTATCAGTTATCAAAAGTGCCAGATGAGACAGAGGCAGAAGACGATCTGATTGTTGGTCAATGTCTCCCTCTAGTGGTCAAAGATTGCAGCTGCAGATTTTCTTTTCATCCCCTGACTTCATGTTTCCCTGTGAACCAAACACTTCAATGTCATCTGAACATGTTGAAGTCTACTCTTCAGATGCCTTTAAATACAGAACAAATACATTTAGATTTTTATTAATCAGGTTTTTAACTCTGACCTTTGAACTAAACSTCATATTTAAATGTTCAGCTCTAATAGTATGTGTTTGGAACAGGTGGCTGCTCTATTTACTAGCTCTATAATCACATTAATAACCCATAATGCATCTCTGTTTRCATTCAGGTTATTAGGTTTGCAAAAGTTTCTTGAAGAAAAGTGCATAACATAAAACAATGTGACCTGCCACTGTCGATTTAATGTTTATTATCAGAAAAAATTACACATTTCCTAAAACTACAAGCAGTAAATAAATCTGATTATAAACAGATGCTGAGGAATATAACTTACTAGCTGCTTAAAGAAAGAACAAATTACTAAAACGTGAAAATAATCTTAAGAACTGTTATGTGGAAATCCCCACTTACTGCAATTAGTCACCTGTTGCTCAGGTTTGTCCTCAGGTGAGGTCATTATGCAACATAAACTCAATATATACTGGATAAAATAATTTGATCTTTAGGAATGTAAATATAAGACAAAGTGTGCGAAAAATAAGTGGAAACATTAAATGTCTGAGGCTCAAATTGCAGTTCTGTAAAAAAAATAAATAAATCCCTGACAGCTTCTGTTTTCATTTTGTCTGACATGTTTCCTGCCTCTGGTCTAGATTTATCTTTAACCTCTGATTTATCAAAGAGTCAGGGTTCCCTCTGACTGCTGTCTTTGTGTTTTTCAGAGTTAAATAAATGTTCACCCTTACTGCAGCTGCTCCTGCTCACAGTCTTCATGCTGCTGTGGACCAACAGCGCCCCCTTGTGGATAAAAGTGTCTCAAACAGACTCAGGCTTTCTGCTCTGCTTCATTCAAGTCACTTAAAACACAMAATATAACAAGAGTTTTAGGTTTCATGAGGACAAAAGCAGAAACTCGATATAATCTGAATTAACATGTATAATGATGAATGATAATTTACATGCCTGATGTAAAAACGAGTAGAAATTTTGGTTATATTTTAGTGGAATAATTATTTTTCAACCCACTTTTTACTTCTACTCCTTACTTTTTAAAAATGCAAAAAGCATTTAATTTCTGTTTTTATTTATTTTAGTTTTGTTTTTATTCCATCTTTTCAGTGTTCAGAAAAAAAAATAGAAATCTACCCAGCTACATGGAGCCCTTGGATAGAGTGAATTTGATTGTGGTTGGATGAGAAATCACCTATTGGACTGAACGCACTCCATTACACCTGTGTGACACAAATCAACTCAACCTTTTTGTACTTGTGTACCCCTAAGCCATTTTATCATACCACTAGTACCCCTCAGTCAAACATAACAATAATTCTCCAAAGCTATAATGTACTACAACATATTTATTTAACTCCCTAGAATGTTTAATTCTCATTCTTTTCAACTTAAATTAAACAAAGATCAAAATTTTACCTTGAAAGTGAATAAGTAATAAAATAAAAAAGGCCAGGTAATGACAGGTACAGAAAATACTCAGAAACTCGCTTAAATCATTTTGTACTGGATTCCATTTTGGGTCAATTCTGTCTACAATTTCCACATTGCGTAAATCATAGGACCCTACATAACCCAGTCCTATTTTTATTAATTTATTCACACACCTGGGAAACTTTTCCACGTACCCCCTGTAATATGCTCGYGTACCCCTGGTTGGAAATCACTGCACAATAGAACCCTGTGTTTTTTTAAAGTGTTCATTACTTTTATACTTTAAGTAGTTTTAAAACCAGTACTTCTGTACTTGAGTAAAAAGCTTGAGTTGATGCTTCTACTTCCAAAAAAGTATTTTTAAACCCTAGTATCTATACTTCTRCTTAAGTAAKGAGTGAATACTTTTGACACCTGTGAAAAATGGCAACAGCTCAGTCARTTTAGTTGAAGGTGACATTAGATGTGGTGGTAGCTGAGAGTCATTCACATCACATCCTCTGAGTGTCAGATAACGTGTGATTGTTGAATTTGTGCAGAATTAATAAAACTCTGTCCTGACAGGCAGCGGGCAATACGCATCCAGGTTTTTATATGAAAAAGTTTTTGCTCTGATGACACGTCTGTTAAATCTCTGTTAAGTTTTGTTGTTTGCTGCTGTGGAGAGTTCAGTCTCCAACATGATAACCCTGGAAGCCGTTGACAGTGTGGCACTCACCACAAACACACACACTCACACACATTTTCCACTCTGTGGGTCCAGCTGAACCGGTGTTTACCAGCACCCCCTCAATTTCCCCCTGATTGCTGTGTACTTTATGAAGGCCACCTGGGGCCGGATGCTTGGTGCTCAGAGTGATTGTCCAGTGCAGYGAGGTCAGGAAAAGGTTTGATCTTTGAATCAACATTTTGTCTGAGGGGCTTCAGAAGGAAGAAAGAAAGAAAAAAGCCAGATTTCTCCTGACTTAAGGACTGCTGCGMAAAGGATGAACTCGGTAAAAACTGTGTGACAAGAACCGAAAACACAGTTTTTCTTAAAGGAAAAGGCAGAAACATCAAACAAAAACATTATTTCCAAAATACACCATGCTCTGTTTATTCGTTTTCCCAAAACTTGTTCAGGTAAGTTAGAAAACGAACGTATACAGTTTTAATCCTCATAAATCAATTTTTTTCTCATTAAAGACAGATGATGGACTGTAAACATCTTCTTTATATATCTGTCTGTTAGCAAAACATTTCAGGGACCCCTGGAGAAAGTTTAATGAGACTTTCAGGAAGTGATAACTGAACTTTCCTCTACAGCTCATTGATATTTAGAGTCGACCCAACTCAAGATGGCGGCCACAACCAATCCAACTTAGCAAACACAAAAATATCTATAACTCAGTAAAACCTGCAGATATGGAGCTCAGATTTGGTGTGGTAGTAGCTGAGAGTGGTCCCTAACACACAGTGAGACCAACAACAGATCACTGAAAATCTTAGTGTAAAACATGTCACCTGCTGCACATAAACCGAAGAATTATATGTATGCTTTTTTATTTAGCAGCTGCAGCTCGATGATATTTCTCAGCTGCACAGTTTAGACTCAGATGAGTCTCGGTGATGTGCAAAATTCAGTTCCCCTGTGAAAATCTGTTCCCTCTACTGGTTAACCTTAGAGAGAATCACTGGTCCAGCTKTAACGTCAGACCAATCCTAAATGGTTAATATCAGGGGGGCACTCCCAACACAGGGGGAACAGATTTTCACAGAACTGAATTTCGTATAACACACCCTCTGTCAGGATCTGTCTTATTTTGTTCCTCAGCTTTTAATAGAGATGTTCAATACCACAGATTTCCTGTCAGTTTCTAATACAGAGTAAAAYTCAGRCAATCCTAATCCRATACTGATACTTTGTAGTACAAATACACCTAATGTGTCTGGTAAATCGAACACAATCTGCATATTTACCGGTAAATCCCCACTACACCAACAATACAAGACAGAGTAGTTTCTTTATTCATTTTAAATTTAAAAGTATTTTGATGTAGTATCCTTGTTTACAGCATAGTTGAACTAAAACAGCAGAAAAACTAAAATAGTTGAAAATAGTATTTTAAACAATAAAAAGAATAAAATAAAAATAATAAAACCATAGAACCATAAAAAGGAAAACTCGTGTCTTATTACATGGACATCTACAGACAGAGCACGTRTCTCTGTGCTTCCACATTACCCAGGCGGAAGAAAAAGTAGTTCCCACCAACCGCTGAAGTTTCCAACTGTCGATATTTTCATCACCTCTGGACTGGAAGGAGATAATCATAGAAATGTCTGTAATACAGAGACTGACTTTCCTTCAGACCTGCTGCTGATTAGTAGTGGCAGAAATAAAACACCTGAATGTGATATCAAACGCATGATCACTAATGACCTCTTTTTCATTTGAATGACTTCTGCAGGTTTTTACTTTTACTCGTGATTTAAAATGATATATAGCAGTGGTCTGTCACATCTACTGTATCTGTATTTCCAAAACTGCAAAAAGGATAAAAAGGGTTAAAAAATTATATTTTAGAGCATAAGTTTCTGTTATCTGTGGTATTTATATTTCAGTATTGRTCTGCAGCCTACTCTCTGCCACAGCTGCAGCCACTTCTCTCATCAGCCTTTTCCTACCTTCAGTCTTCAGTGTCTGTTGAGCGTTGTTGGGTTTTCATGCCACCTCCTTGTCTCCTTTGTAAGTTGTTTCTCTTTAGGTCAMAGCATGTTTT